CACGTACAACAAATTATTGATTATTGTTCTTACACATGCGGATAAAAAAATCATTTTATTATACTTATCGAATACATAACACGTTGGGGAGCTTTTTTTTTCTCGCAAATTGATGGACGTCTCGCAGCGTCTTCGTGCTGGTTACGAAAATAACGGCGGGAAGTAATAAATCTAAGAGATGAAATCATTAAAGAAGAGATTGGGTGTGAGTATATATATATATATATATATATATGTATGTATATATATATATATATATATATATATATATCTTGTTTGCCTTGGCATTGAGTTGTTTGGTTCATTAGCATCATCTACAGGTTAGACTAGGTCCGAAGATTCTAGCGAGAGTTTGCTCGTTCATATTTTTCAACCAAGTGTCTTTATTTGTATTTAATATTTAAATATTAAGAGATAATAATGTGAGAGAGAGAGAGAGAGAGAGAGAGAGAGATTTTATGGTCTTGTACGTGTACGTTCATTTAAATACATTTTTATCGTATTTTTTCAGATAATACATCGGGACCTCGCAGCCAGGAATGTTTTAGTTGATCACAACAAACTCTGCAAGATCGCGGATTTTGGAATGTCGAGATTCGCGAATGAAGACGGCGAGGTGATCGAAACGAGACACGGTAGAAACGCATTGCCGATAAGATGGATGGCACCAGAATCATTGATTTATTCTCTTTTCACTACGAAGACTGATGTTTGGAGCTTCGGCATTTTAATGTGGGAAATAGTAACGCTCGGTACGTTATTAAAAATGAAAGATATGACATTTTTAACGGTACGACCAAAAAATGTCTGAGAAAGACATTTTCTTCGTTCTTTTTTTTCCTTTTTTTTTTTTAGATTAAATATTGTCGATTAAATACACTATTCTTTTTCTTTTTTTTTTTTTTTTTAACAAATAAACCCCCCCTCCACCATATATTTTCTTTCTTTCGAGTGTCACAATCATTCTTTATCTTGCTAAAGGCACCCTTTAATAAACAAGTCGGATTATATCGTTGCTTGAGGCAATTCTCGAGAATAAATCCCGGTAAGATGAACAGAGAACTGACAAAATATTTTATGTTGTTTAGGCTCAACGCCGTACCCGGATATGACGGCAAGGGAAGTCATGCGGAACGTGCAAAGCGGTTATCGCCTCGAGAGACCGTCCCACTGTCGAAGCGAGCTCTTCAGGGTGATATCCCGATGCTGGCACGCTGATCCCGACCGCAGACCAGAATTTCAAATTCTAAGGAGGGATCTGGCACAACTTCTCGAGGACAATATGAACGGCCATTACGTCGATCTCGAGAGTTTCGCTTCCGAGTGCACCGACTGACGCCATCTCGATTAAACTACTCATTTCTTACTTTTTGCTAAACTTCGATATTCTGATCTTTAATGTAAAACGAAAGAGATAAGAAATATCATAGATCGATTTATCGAAGCAATCGAAAGTTTATATTAGAAAACGAACGAAGTTTGCCATTTTTTACGCCGAACTTTACGTAGGTCGAGACGAACCAGAAAAAGATTCGTTAATTTATTTTTCTTCTTTTTTTTTTATCATATGCGCGATACAATCAAATCACGTTTGTGCTCAGGTAAAGATTTAAACGTGAACAATGGGGGGGAGGGGATAAGGGAGAAATTTATCTTCATATAGATTTACGTCCATCCGTCCAGAATTTTTCTTTAACGAGAGTATCGTTTGTAACTCGATCGTAAAGCATGTGTATCACAGAAACCATTAGTTAGAGTTCGAAATGTGCTATAATATTAATTTATTCGTTAGAATCTAATTAATTATCTTAAACAGGACAAACTCGACAATAACACTGCATCGTGTTTTTACAAAGATATTAATATCTCTTTCGCGATATCATAATTTTTTTTTTCCTCTCATCACTTTTATTTCGTTGTCGCGAACTTGTAAATATTATTGAAGTTACAATCGTTGCGTTATTACACAAAAAATATATATGTATTTTGTTTAACGTATTTACCCCCAATCAAAAAACAAAAAAAAAAGGCACGAATTTTTATCTTATGTTCTCCATCATTTTATAATTATTGTATCAATATTATTTCATCATGATATCATTATAATTATTTTAGATATCGTCATTATTATAATAAGTAGGAAGATAGATTTTATATCGTTGCAGGCGTTTATTTTTAATCATTCTAGTCTTTCGACGCATTTGGGGTATCGATTGATTATCGTCGATGTATTATGATTCATTTTATCTCTTTTATTTTTTCCACTTTTCCGATAAAAATTTAGAAAATTTATTGCCGGTTTAAAAGAGATCGACTGTTAAAGATCGATCGGAACCCCAGAGTTGTCAGTTGATTATTTCATTAAGTTTTAATCTTATAATTGCTATATTATAGTTATTGCAAATCTTGATAAAACCGAGTTTCTCGATCGTTTAACGTTCGTTTTTCACCTTGAAAGAAAAAAAAAAGAAAGAAAGAAACGAGGTTGCGTCTTGATCCTTACGTTATACGATGTTTTTTCTCCTTCCAAACAAAACAACAAAACAAAACAAAAAAAAAATAACAAAAAAATAAACAAAAAAGAAAGAGATAATACAAGAAACAATGTATGTAGACTCGACGATTGTATTAAGAAGTTTTCTTTTTTTGTCTTTTATTTTGTCAGTAAACGTTATCCGATTTTTTCAACGGACACTTTAATCTTTCGGATCTTTTACCTGATCCAAGCAAAACCCGATCTCTCAGTAATATTTTCTTTTCTTTTTTTTTTACCACGTCATCATGCCGATTGATTTATTTCTGCGATATAAAAAAAAAAGAAAAAGAAACAAACAAAGATAAAGATCCTTGTAAAAGGTTTCTTGTAAAATCGAAAGATTTGAAATGAAAAAATCTTAGAGAGGAATGTCGATAGAGATCGATATTTATAGCGAGTATTTACTTACCTCTCTCTCTCTCTCTCTTGATCGAGTTCTTTATCCGGGGAAACGTTTTAATTAAATTAATTAAAGTGGCACACATCCGCCGCGCGTCGATTTAATTACGACGATGTAACAAATTGTAGTGGACCGCCGCGGGGTAGGGACGAGTAGCGTGGGCGTACGTGTATCGTAAATCTTTCTTCACGTACACGTAAGCGTATGTATGTACATATGTTATACATACGTATATATATATATATATATATATGTATATATATATATATATATATATATATATACATACATATACATGTATATATGTACGCTTTCTTACTCGAGATTGTTATAATTAATTCACTTCGTGGAAGCTTTTGCGTCAATTAACACCCATGCTCGGCACGTTTCCATTGCGAGAAATATATGTCGAGATTGAAAGCATACCTCCATATGAAATGACAAAATAATTAAACATTAAACTCGTATCTATGTACAATACTTGTACTTTTTGTACTCTTTCGGAATTTTAAAAGACTCGATATTACGCTTGAGACACGTTTTATTATTTTTTTTCTTTCCTTATTTATACATACGTATATATATATATATATATATATATATATATATATATATGTATGGTGAGTTGTTTTTTAAATTTTGACACTTAAAAATCTTGAAAATAATGCATTTTTAAAAAGGAAAGTTTGAAACAAAAATTTTTTTTCTTAGTTTCGTGGGACTATACATTACAGCGTTGTTCATTTCTGATTGAATGTTTTCAGGGTTACTTCGAAATCGATTTTATATTTTTGTTTAAATAGAAAACTATAATTTTTGTAGCGTTATCTTATTTGAATTATTTTATCAAAAAAACCAAAGGAAACGAAAGTTTATTGTTTGAAAAATTTTTTTTCTAGCATCTAGTCCTCACTTTCTACGATATTTAACATTGTTTAAATAAAAAAAAATAAAATAAAATCAAGTAGAGATATAAGAGAGAAACGAGAATTGCTTCTTAGAAAAATATTACTTAAATAAATATTCAAAACGACTGTCCTCACTTTCAATACACAGGATAGGATAGTCGTTACTTGTCAGTTGCCAGTTGCCTGACCTGTTTCGTCCTTTCCTATCTTGTTTTTTTTTTGATTTAGTAAGGTAAGGGCCGTCCTTTTGGAATATTTATTAAAATAATACTTTTCTAAGAAGAAATACCTGTTCTCTTTTATAATTCTTATTACCACAGTTTTTTTCTTGTCTAAAAAAATTTTAAAAATCTTAGAAAATAGAGACTTGAGAAAAATTGATTTTCTTTCCTATACGTAAAATAAGATTCCGTTGCAGAAATTATAACAATTCCCGATTAAAAATATTAAGTTGAATCGTTGAAAATATTCGCCGAATAAAAAAAAACAATGTTGCGTTTGTTGCCCTCTTCTCGTTCCTCCCTCATAAACGAAAATGACTTTCGTTTTGAACTTTCTTTTAAAAAATGCTTGTTATTTTTGGAAAATATTTAAATGTCTCGATATAAAAAATTGATCATCTATAACAAAAGTAGATTAGGTTAGCCAATAATCAGGTAAAATTTAAATTTATATACTGTAAGAATCCATGGTTATAATGGAATGGAGTTATGCAATTAACAGTCATGTTAACGTTTTAATTAACATCTCTCTGAAGTATACAATTAAGATTTTTCACTGATTATGAAATATCTTATTAAGTTAATTGTAGGACACTTGTAAAAGTAGGTATAACATCGATTACGTGTTTTAACATAGTTCTAGAGAAAGAGAGAACAGTATGAATGGAACAAATGACTCAGGAAAATTAGCAACGAATTGTGTTCGACTTTACGATCTTCAAGATTTATAAAATACGAGCGCAACGTTCTCGAACGAATCCAAAGATTAAGTTTCAAAGTAACGACGAAGTCAGCTTTCACGTTTGGCTCAAAGGCTTAGCTTTATTACCTACGTACCTACGTACGTATGTATAGTACTTTCTCTGTCTCTGTCTCCATCTCTCTCTCTCTCTCTCTCTCTCTCTCTCTCTCTCTCTCTCTCTCTCTCTCTCTCTCTCTCTTTTTCTATCTTATTTCTTCAAGTTTGCCAGTACGTTTATACTCACTCACCGTACGCATGAGTTTTTTATATTTTATTTTTCTTCTTTAGTACAGTGTTGCGAATCCATTATTTATCGCTCCCACGTCGCAGATTCGATATCTTGCCAAAGAGTCTTACTGCGGCCTCGTCTTTGATTCATGTAGACTCGCGAACGAGTCTCGAATCCTGAGAATACAAGTGGAAGGAACTGGAAACTCTCGTACTTCGAGTGCACGGTAAGCTCCATTTCGGAATTTTTATATTTATTTTAGTAATCTCTTCACGTTGTTACATATTTCTTCGAGGGTGGGGGTGGGCGGAGAAAAAAAAATTTTTTAAATAAAAGAAAAAAAGAATAAAAATAAAAATTAAAAAAAAAGAGTAAAAACAAAAAATAATAAAAAGTTCGAAAATTGAATCGAAAGATAAATCTTAATATGAAGGACCACCGACGTAGTTATTCCTGCGTTGTAAGGAAGATCGGAAAATGATCGACGTACTTTTACTTTCTTCCCACGCTTTCTGCACGAACGAGGGATGTACAAGTGCAGAATAAAAAAAGAAGAAGAGGAAAAAAAGAAAAATTAAATAGGAAGTTACGAAGAATAAACGAGTTGAGAGGATGAGAGACAGAGAGAGAGAGAGAGAGAGAGAGAGAGAGAGAGAGAGAGAGAGAGAGAGAGAGAAAGAGCACGTACATGCAATATTTTGCCCAAACATCCAATCATTCTCGTTGTTGTCGTCGTTGCATTGCTTGGATATTGCGGATTGTACATCTTCTTCTATCATCTCCTGCAATGTTCGAAATTTCCTCTTAGTTCCTTTCATTTCTCCTTCCGTTTGAAAGGAAAAGAAGTAAAGTGGACGATCCGTACGCACGGTCATGTGTTGGACAAGAATCGTTATCGTAAATTGGATCGCATTCCTGAAATCTTGAAATAACCATAAAACGTAGGGAGGCTCGTTTATGGCTCGAGGTTATGGAAAATGATGAGGGAGTTAGGTATCCTACGGTGGGAGGGGGTAACAAACGAAGATGATAACTTCGTTGGAAGCTCTTCCGCTGTCACGATATTAATGTTAAGAAAGAAAGAAAGAAAGGAAGAAAAAAATAGAAATATCATGAATTATTTATCTATTAGATCTATCTTGAAGTAATAATATATATAGAAAAATAGTCTTTTTCGATGTTTACGAAACGAATCTAATAAAAAATAATAGTGAAAGCCTATTAACATTGACTAAGTTGCACCTGTTACACGTTCAATTTCAAGAAACGATGATTGAGATTTTTTTAGAGAAAGAAAAGAAAGAGAAGAAAAGAAGGAATAAAAAAATTAAAAAGAAAAAGGAAATGAAATGAAAAGAAGAAAAAGAAGAAAAAAGAAATGAAAAAAAAAAAAGGAAAAACGAGAGACAGAGAAAGTCTTTCGTCGTCGGCACAGATGAGACAGGATGCAACTCGATTATATAGCATATTTATACGTATGCCTATTATAAATATATGTATATATATTACATATGTATATATATATATATATATATATATATATATATATATATATGAATACATATATCAAAATGTATATATGTATGATAATAAAAGAGGACTTGCGGTCCTTTCTAATCCTAAAACAAGAATGACGTCTAACTCGAAAACCAGATCCTCTGGTTTTGTCCTACTTTCCTTCGATCTCTGTTGCGTATATCCGAAAAATATTTCAAAGAAAGAGATAGAGATAAAGAGAGAAAGAGAAAGAGAAAGAGAAAGAGAAAGAGAAAGAGAAAGAGAAACAGAAACAGAAACAGAAACAGAAAGAGAGAGAGAGAGAGAGAGAGAGAAAGAGACTTAAAAAGTCTTATTCATCGCTGAGTTATCTTTCATCTTCCTTTCTTTCTAACCGAGCAAGTTGGTCGACCAAAGTCTTCTGATACAAACTCGAAATTACCCGAGTGTACTGACCTACATATTTTAGTCAGAGAAATGATTTCAACTATCAGAAATTTTTCAACGATACTAATCGAAGTAATTCAAACGAAAACGACATTGAAAATGTTCTTTGAATATTCTCAAGAAAATCATCGATAAAAGGTATCGAATCGTACGGTTTCATGCTTCACTTCGAGATAACTTTCACTCGATTCACTTCTAGTATATGGTTTAAGAAAAGCATAGATTATCCGATAAGAGAGAGAGAGAGAGAGAGAAAGAGAAAGAGAGAAAGAGAGAGAGAGAGAGAGAGAGAGAGAGAGAAATTAGAAAACGACTGTTAGACGAAATAACAAGAAAGTTTAAAGTTTACTTATCCTATTATGTTCGAATAATAGTTAAGTACTTAGTTACATGTAAGTACTTTGATAATTTTGTAATAATATATTTTCCGATCGAGTATTATTAAAGACGAATCTGTGGATAATTTTCGAGAGTGGTAGATATTAATTATTAAAGACTACCAGAAACGAGAATCATCGTATTTAAAGTCTCACTCATGTATTATCTTGTAAAGGTACTGGTAAGTACAAGGCGCTTTCACCCTTCGCTTCATCGTGCACCTGCTAAAAGAGACAACCTCTGGCCAGTCGCGAAACGAATCTCGAGAGTAAAGAGATCTATTATAAAGAAAGTTCATCAACCCGGACTCGAGTGAAATATTCTATTTTTTATTTTATTTCTTGTATCTTTTTTTTTTTTATACCGTGAAATGTTTTTACGCTAATTAATTTTAAAGAATCTTTTTTCTTGTCTTCTTTTTTTTTTTTTGTTAACGTTTAATATTAACGCAACTTCTTGATATAGAGATCATATGAAAAATATAAAAAAGAATAACAATAATAATTAAAAAAAAAGATAGAGATTAGGCTATTTTAAAAGAAAGAAAGACTTCACACAAAGAGAACGAAGAGTAGATATATAAGAAGAGAGCAGGAAGAGAGTGGCCGACTTCTTCTTCTTTTTCTTCCTTCTTCTTCTTCTTCTTCTTCCTTCTTCTTCTTCTTCTTCTTCTTCCTCGGCAGTCGAAGCAACACAAGACATGCGCCTCGAGTATCTCGACGATACTTAACTATGTACTACGTTCCGGTTTTCTCGGTCACGGCTAAGCGAACGAAACATCTTTTTCTGTGAGAGAGATTCTCCTTCCGTTGGATAAAATTATCAATTCGTAATGGAACGACCTTAAATATAACATCCTCTATTTGCCTTATTGCTAACAACGAGCATGAATTTTATGAACGATCGAAGCGAAAACGAACGTCGCACTTTTTTTGTCCTCCTACCTTTTTCTTTTTTTCCTTTTCCTCCCACTCCCCCTCTCTCCCCATAAAATTTTGTCCAACGAAGAAGTTGAATAAACAAGGATGAGTTCGCGAAAATGTACATGAACTTTTTTCTCAAAGTTTCATTGCGATGAAAAAGTTCATTCAACGGGGCAAATATCGAGTTTGTACGATCGTGTTTGTAGAAAGAGAAAACAATATCTTTTCTTTATTCTCGAGAAGAAAGGAAAAAGAAAAAAAGATAGAAAAAAGAGAAAGAATTATAAAAACAATCATATATGGGGAAACGATCTCGTGTGTTAAAAGTTTTGCGTGCTGTATAGAGAATGTTTATGTTTCGAGAAAAAGTGTAAACGTGGCTCCCGCGTAGACACGACATAGAGGGGAACGAATCTTCTTCTTCTTCTTCTTCTTTTTCTTCCTTTTTTGATCCACCTCCCCTAGGTACACCTCCACTACCATCACCACCACCTCTACCATCTGCTATCAAGAGACTGAAAGTCCGAGCTCGCGAGTTTCGCGCTGTTGGAAGAAGAGATCAGTAGTAAACCATTCGATGAAGTCGGTTGAATTTTGACCTCGATAGGAAACAGATGTACGAAGATTCGTGTTCGCGAATTATACGATTGATAAATTATAAATAACGATCATTAGGCTCTTTCAGTGGATCGTCGCGTGTGTATATCCAGTGATAAATAATCAATCTATAGATTTTCCGAGAGAGATAGATTAAAAATTCTGAAGCTGAGATGAGAATACGACGGTCTTTCATAATTTTGGTAAGAAAATTTATTTCGATTTTCCAAAAAGTAAATAAAAAAAAAATAAATAAAAAAAGAGGAACAAAAAATATTACAATTGATAGAATTAATATGATAAAATTAATTACGTGGAACGGTTTTACGATATATATATATATATATATATGTATAACGATTATCTCAGGGGCAATGTTTTAAAATAAGAAATAATATTATTTAACTTTTTCTGAAGGAAATAATCACGGAAGCGAAACGAAATCGTGCCGTGACAAAACGAGACTTTAAATAGTAACAATTTTCCAGTCGTCGAATCGATTAACTCAGCAAAGGTAACAAATTACAAAGGGTTGAACGTCCCCTTGAACGGATTTGCACTTGTCTCAGTCAACTTTTATCTCGATAAAGTGGAACAACCTTTACCGTGGCCTTGATCCGAGGAAGCCGGTAGAACGAGGAAAAGTAATAGAACGTTCGTTTATGCCGGAATACCGAGTTCCCTCTCAGGAGAAAGGTTCATTAACGTCATCTGCATATTTCCTCTCTCTTTCTCGGCTATTAAAAGAGAAAGATCGAAACTACGTCGCTGTTTAAAAATGGCAATTACGAGAGAAATAAAAAAAAAAAGAAAAGAAAAGAAAAGAAAAGAAAGAAAGATTCGTTCGAATGACGATCATGAAAATGATTTCAGTGAAATCGTTGTCGACCTCTGCACGTCCTTCTTTTTTTATTCTTTATTTTTTTTTTTATCTTCTCCTACCTTTTCATCTTCTCCTTCCTTCTTGTCTTGCACGGATGCTTACTGGGTCAACGTCGATTACAAACGCGTAGAACGGGATGAAAAATGGCTTCGTAGAGAAACATAGTTTCCTATTTTATGGCGATTTCACGACGGATAATAGATGTAAACTTATCGTATTAGTCTATACGATCCATCTACGTTGGGAAATGTTTATCGTGAATTTGCTCGATAAGGCAGCTATTATAACTTTAGTATAGCACTTCGTGTAGGACGTTTATTTGGAACGACAGTGTGAGAAACTTACGAGAGAACCTGTTATATTCGAGAGTGAGAGAGAGAAAGAGAGAGAGAGAGAGAGAGAGAGAGAGACAGAGAGAGAGATAAGTAAGTGGGCGGAAGTAAATATAGATAAAGTGGATATTTCAAGATACAATTTTTACATGCAAAAATGACGAATCAATTTTTTCAACCTATTTAGAACAATAGAGTGAGAAACGTACGAGAGAAGTTATTATATTCGAGATTGAAAGAAAAAGAGAGAGAGATAGACAGAGAAATATATGAGCAGAAGTGAATGCTGAACAGGATATTTTGAGATTCAATATTTATATACAAAAATGAAGAATTAATTTTATCTAGCTAGTTAGAACAATAAAGTGAGAAACTTAAGTGAGAGTCTATTTTGCTCTAAAGAAAGAGAGAGAGAGAGAGAGAGAGAGAGAGAGAGAGAAAAGAGAAAAATATATAAGCAGAAATGAATGTAGGTAATCTGGATATTTTGAGATTTAATCTGTAATGCGAAAATAATAAATGAATTTTTATTTAGCTATTTATACAACAATAGAAAGAGAAACTTACGAGTAAATCTGTTACATTCAAGAATAAAAGAAAGAGAAAGAAAGGAATACATTGATAAAACTGAATACTAGTAAAGAGGACATTTCAAGATTTATTATTTATATATAAAAATGATGAATTAATTTTATTTAGCTATCTAGAACAATAGGAAGAGAATTTTAAATTATAACCTGTTGTATTCAAAAGAGACAAAAAGATATAAAGATAGATAGATAGATAAATAGAGAGAGAGAGAGAGAGAGAGAGAGAGAGAGAGAGAGAAAGAGAGATAGTGAAATACATGTGCTGATTTGAATACAGATGAACAGGTCATGTTGGGTTTAGATACTTATATGCAAAAATGACGAATGAATTTCATATAACTATTTAGACAGTGTGAAATATTTACGAGATAATCTATTATATTCCAGAATCAGAGAGACATAGAGAAAGAAGGAGACAGAACGTGGGCGAAAGTGAATATAGATAAACTGGATATTTCGAGATTTAATTTTTACATGCGGAAACTATGAATGAATTTTTATTTAGCTATTTAGAACAATAGGTCGAGAAATTTACTAGTGAACCTGTTACATTTGAGAGTGAAAGAGAGATAAAAATAGAAATACGTGGGCAAATCTGAGTGTAGGTGAACAGGACATTTTATGATTGAATACTTATATACAAAAATGATGTATAAGTTTTATTTAGCTATTTAAGACAATAGGAAAAGAAATTTACGCGGGAACGTGTTGTAGTCAAGAGACAGACAGAGAGAGAGAGAGAGAGAGAGAGAGAGAGAATATAAATGAAAACATAACACTTCTGTATCGTCCAATATTAGGAAAAATGGCAAATAAATTTTTTCTAAATTATTTGTAAATAAATGAATTTATATATATATATATATATATATATATATATATGTTGATGTATAATATATATTGTATATATATATTCTTATTACATAAATTTTTAACTGAGATATAGTTAACCAAAAGAGAATAAATAAGATTTTAATGGAAACTCTTTCAGAGTTTTTTTTTTTATATAGTATGACACTAAACTCGTATAGTCAGCGGTGACTTGTTGTTCGGGATCCTTAAAAGAGATTCCTCTTCGCGATAATCTTAAGTTAACTGGAAAACTAGTAGATAATGCTATATAAACCGAGCTTCCTCTTACGAATAACTGTTACGTCTCCACATGTAATACTATCTTGTGCACGCGCTACAATTGTTCCTTCTCGAGGAAGTTGCATCGTCTTTAATTGTGCCTTGAAATCATTTCTTAATTAAAAACTACTGGAATATATTAGTTTATCCTTTCTTTTTGTTTCTTTCATCTTTTTAATATTTTGTTACGCGTGATATCGCAATAGTCTCTTTCTTCTTGTTGTTTTTCTTTTTCAATTTTTTTTTTTTTTTTTTTCATACCATCTTAGATAATTCTAGATTTTCTTTTAAATATTAGAACGCATAATTTATATATCTTTCGAGAATGAATATTTTCCAATGCATAACTTCACGCGCACATATCAAACATATCTAGAATTCCAGGCTATCTATTAAAATACGAAGAATCTTATACGACACGTGCTTGTTCATTATAACAAATGATTTTTACTCGTAGATATCTTTAAACGTAGTAAAGTAAAAGAAAGAAAAAAAAAAGAAAAAAAAAGAAGAAGAAAAAAGGATAAAATAACAACATTGCTTTCCGTTTCACTCTCTAGGCGGTCGTACTACTATCCTCGTTTAACGTCGACTCGAAGGAGGATCGAAAAGACGATGGAATCTACGAGGATAAAAACTCAACGAAAGAGGACGTTTCTGTTTCTTCGACGATGGACGAGGAGCAAATTAGTGTCAAGAACAGGACCGATAAAGTACGAGAGTTAGTGAAATCTGTGAGTAAGCAATAAAATAAAACAGAAAAAAAAGTACAAGATTTCTTCATCTGAAACAACATACGAGTGTGATTATTTTTTATCTGGATGTTATCTTGAATGAAATCATTTTTCTTATAATTATCGTTGATTATTCATTGTTTTCATTGACTTTATTTAATTCTTAATATTCCAAGAAAATTATGCTATGTTTGCAAGTCAATTTTAAAGAAATTTTGCTAATTTAAACAATAATTATTTGTTGTTAAAAGATTTTATAAATATTGTGTAAACTCAACGACTTATAACGATAATGATAATAATAATATATGTATATAATAATATATATCTTTATAATAACATTATTATTATTATATATATAGTATAATATAATAATACTGTTATATTATATATATTATATAATAATAATGTTATAATAATAATAATAATATATTATTATTATTATTATTATTATTATTATTATTATTAAAAAATACAATTTGCAGCATTAATAAAGGTTAAATTGATAAGAATTAACTAAAAAAAATCAACTTACACTGACTTATCAACTCCAAATACTTTTATCAAAATATTTAAATTCTTATCTTTTTAAGAATGTTATAGTATATTTTCTAGTCAACTTCTATTGAAGAAAGTTTATATAATTATTAATAAAGAAAGTTTATAATATTATTATTATTATTATTTATATTCATATAATAATATTATTATTATTATAACTAATAAAAAAATGCGCTTGTCTGCATTACTGAAGATTGGATGGATAAGAATTAAATAAAAAAAAGTCAACCTCAAAGACTCAATTACTTTTTCATAATTAAAAAAACATTTATTCTTTTGTCAAATTTCAATTATTTTTATGAAGGTATTTTAATTCTTATCATTCCAAAAGTACTATAGTATATTTACTAGTTAATTTCAAAAAAGTTTTGTAAAGTTATTATTAAAAATGTTTATAAATAATATGTGAAATCAACGATTGATAACGATAATAATAATAATAATAATAATAATAATAATAATAATAATAATAATAATAATAATAATAATAATAATAATAATAATAATAATAACAATAATAATATCATATTATATAATAATATAATAATATAATAATAATAATATAATAATAATTTTTTTATATAATAAAATAATATACAATATTATTAAAAAAGTGTAGTCGGCAATATTACTAAAGGTTGGATTGATAAGGATTAAATAAATAAAAAAAAAAAAAAAAAAGAAAAAAAATCAGTCGACTTTACTGACTTATTTAATTTCAATTTTTAAAGGCCCTTAAAGTGACAGAGAAGAGGGAACAGATCGGCGAGGTAATACCAATAATACGTAGTATGTCGGTACGGCAAAAGTTGCTTATGGCGAGATTAATTTCAAAGAGAATAAGCGATAACGAAACAACGCCGTCATCTCCGATAGTGGAGACTCGATCTATCTTTGGCGATGAGGATAGTAGCAGGAGGAACGCCTCGAGAGCTCTGATGTTGCCTATCAGTGCAGACATCGCAAGGATCATTTCCGACGACATTTCTGGAGATGAGATGGAAGAGGACGAAGAAGATGAGGAGGAGGAGGAGAAGGAGGAGGAGATGAAGGAGGATGAAGGCGAGAAAGAAGCAGGTGAGAAGAAAGAGAAGGATGTAAAGGATGAGGAGGAAGGGAAAGAAAAAAAGGAAGATGATGAGGTGAAGATCGAAAAGGAAAAAGAGAGAGAAGACGGGAAGGAAACTGCGGAGGAATTGCCAAAGGTAATTTAAACTTTCTTAATTAACGCGATATGGATAATAATCCTTATTATGAAATGGTGTCTTCTATCCTTGTTTTTTCTCTTTCTCTCTCTCTCTCTCTCTCTCTTGTTTCTTTCTTTTTTTCATTCTTTCGTTCTTTTTCCTTCTTTTTTTCAATGTGAATTCCTCGCTACTTGTTACGTTACTCGTCCTCGGAAGGTGGAAGTAATTTGATACTATGCCATCTTGTCGCAATTTGAGAAGTCATAAAATGTTTTCTTTAAGGTTAATAAAAAAAGAAAAAAAAAAAAGAAAAAAGAAAAGAAAATACAAGAAATATCTTACTCCTTTGAAAATAAATCATTTTAATTCGCAAGATGTCTATTGATATTAGAATCAACAATATAAACGAATTAACACATTTCTCCGAGAGAGTCTTTCGTTTTACACTTTCACGAGGAGTTCACGTTTGCCATGCATAATCGCAATGCCTCATGAAACTTTTCCCGACATGGCTATTAAAGAGAGAAAGAGAGAGAGAGAGAAAGAGAGAAAGAAAGAAAGAAAGAAAAATAATAGAAAAGAAAATAAGAAGATAAAAAGAAAAAGAACGAAACAAATATATGTGTGTTCTTATTTCCTGAGATAATTTTCTCTACTTCAACGAAATATACAATTAGCGCATGACCGTGAATGCGAAAGTGCAATTGCAACGTCGTAAATGTGGAATATCTAGATATTTAAATATCTCGGAGAGATCGAAAGGGTTTACTTTAACGTTAATGATCCCTTTGAAATCGATCTTCGTCTCTTTTCCTTCGTGTTGTTTTTTCTTCCTTTCTTTTTTTTTTTTTAATTTAATTTTGTTGGACGTTCAAGGCACAAGAGTTGCGATCGGCAAGACCTGTCCCAAGAAGACGACCCTTTTATCGGATGCCGCCGCCTCCACCGGTGAATCTACCAACGAGAAGACCGTCTTCCCTCAACAGAAGAAACGTTTATGCAGGTCGGTCTATTCTATTTTCTTTGTTGTGAACAAATAAAAAAAAAAAGAAAAAAGAGAAAAAAAGAGAAGTAAAAGTCTCATGGATGTCATTATTTCCTGGCAAAAGATTATCCGAGATAAGGAAAATTGGATTTTTCGCTTTTGCAGATCCATCGAGAATGTCTCCATTGAGACCTTCAAGAAAACCTTCCGAGCCAAAGAGAGTTCCCACGGATAAGGAATGTACTTTCTTTTCTAAAACTGTATGCCTCGATGCTACGGATTATCCGCAGTAAGTACAATAGCGTATAATATTATTCAAAAGTTAAGATCGATTTTTATTTTCGATAGCGTAAAAAATAACTTTTGTTTTACTTTTAATTTTTAATTTTTTCTTTTTTTTTTTCTTTTTTTCCTTTTTTTTATATTTTTCTACCCTATTAAAGCGAAGCAATAACGAGGAGTTTAAGAAGCAACAAAGACATGGTGGCAGCTTTATTGACTGATTACAAGGTACAAGAGGGAAGATTCGACGACCATTCGTCCGGTCCTTTTGAAAATCGATACGAAAATCGTTATGAGAATCGTTACGAGAGTAATGAAATCAAAAGGTAAATTTAAATAATATCTATGAATATTAATCGCATGATTATTATTTATACAATTAAATTTGCACAGTTAAATAGCCTTATAATGTAAGCGATAATTTAACGAACACAATGATGCTTTAGAAATCGGGAGACACGGAAAGATTGAAAATAAAAAAAAATAAAAAAAGAATAAAAAAAAAAAGGAAAAGAAAAAGAACTTTTTCTTAATAGAGTGAGAACGATTTCAGGGTATATTTCACATCGTTTAATTAACTTTCACCATTTTCAAATGCAATCCATCCTTTGAAAGAAAACACACGAGACATATACCATTGATTATATAGTTACATAAATGCAATAGTGAACATCTGATAATAAATTTTTTTTCTTAGATCTGACAATACATTTGACAATGTCGAAGAAGGATTCACATGTCCGTCTACAGTTAAATATGCACGTCCACAATTGGCCAGAGCGGCATCTGGAATTTGGAAATACATAATAAATACGGGAGAGCATACTCAAACGTTACGTTTGGAGAAGTGTTCGTAAGTGTTGATTTTCGAAGACAAAATTATCGTTTTAAGTGAACAGTCAGAAAAAATTGATTCAATTAATAAAAATAACGATATCTTATCTTTTATTTCAGTAATACTCGAAGCAGTTGTTCCTTCATATCGGAGAACTATCGTTCCTCTTGTGTACAAGTTTACAATTATCATCGATTGTTAACATGGGATTCAAAATTAGGTCTACATATGGATATATTTAAGGTACCTACCTGTTGCAGTTGTCACGTTCACGGTTATTCCGAGATATTTCCACCTCATGAAAAAGATCCGCCGCTAAAACCTAAAGAAAAATTTCCTGGAGCTGAATTTGTTACTAATAACGAATCAAAGGACGATTATCAAGAATTGAGCAAGCCCAATAATAATTACGTCAGTAAATACAACAATCCAGGTCCGAGCTACGATTCGAATATCGGTAAATACTATAAAAATTTGTTGTTATTAACGAGATATCACGATTGTCAAAACAAATATTTTCCAGCATTGTCCAGTAACAAAAGGCCGGTGATTGAGACTTCGTCGACCAGCCGACCCAGTTTCACCCTTCCTGGACGAACTAGACCAAAGGTACCCTCGTCCGTTCATAGACCCTTCGATAAATTACCTCATCAACATGCACCCAATACGAGAGCTCCTGGATACATTGGCCCATTGAATAAAGGACATTCTTCTAGGCCTACTAGACACAGACCACCGTTCAGAAGGGAATCTATTTCTCAAATGGAGGAACTCCCTGATAATTCTAATAATAGCTCATTTAACAGGTCAGTCATATCATTAAAAACGAAAGTATAAAGAGTTCTCTGGTAAGGTCGTATTGATGATTAATTAAACCAGGTTTATTAAATGTTCGTCAATCTCTTTTCCTCTTTATCACTCTTTCTCTTTCTCTCTCTCTCTCTCTCTCTCTCTCTCTTTCTCTCTCTCTTTCTCTCATAGTTTTTTGATAAATTTAATATTTATGTTATTTGATGACCATTATATAGTGTCGGTTTCTCTTGATAACTGTCTTGATTTTATCATCACTATTAGAAAGTTTTGCACATTTTTCTCTTTTTTTTTTGTAATAGAAGAACATTAGATGTTAAAAATAAACACTTTGTTGTCTTCCACTTTTGATGAGATATAAAATTAAAATAAAATACTAAATTAAAGAAGAAAGAAAGAAATATATAGACATTGTTAATCCAGTTTCAAGTATTTAACTAATACATGTTTAATGCAGTTATTGTTTTACAGAAATATCGTGACAAATATGGAGAAGTGACATGAAATTTTTTAAAAAAGTCAATATACCGGGTGTCACATTTTAAACAATCCAACCAAATATTTCCAATTCTATTGGATTTGATAACAAACATTTCAAGTAAAAGTTGTGAAGTTTTTAAAGAAGAAATGTAATATTTATTGCAATTACTTTATAAAGGATACAGTTAGACAATTTTATCTAGATTGATATTGTAGTCATAGTATTTTTTTAAATGAAGATCGATATTTTAAACTTAACAATAGTTATAGAGAATTCCAATATGAATTCAATGAGTACCTATAAAGTATTTTTTCATCGATATTTCATCGGGTTATAATAGTTAGGAAGAATAATCACAGGTCACATATTACAAAACACAAAACAAAGAACAAAGAAAACAGATTGCAATCATATATCACAAATTATATCATAGAACACAGATAACAGATCATACATCACAAGTGGCGTGACATACTGAGCTATAACTATTATCGTTATAACTCGATAAAATTTCAATGAAAACATATTCGTTGGATTCGTATTGATACTCTCTATAACTTTCGTCATACTTACAATATCGATTTCAATAAAAAGATATTATTTTGGTTTTTGTATCTCATGAACAATTTTTTTTATAAAATATCTTCAATAAATTATATTTCTCCCTCCAAATCTCAAAACTTTTATTTGAATCATTTGTTTATAAAATCCAATAGAATCGATAATATTTGAATGGATCGTTTAAAATGAAATAATCGGTATAACAAATTTGATTTGTATCAAAAAAATGAATCCTTTTTCTTTGTGCAGGTATAGTCAACCGTTCGATCAAGATACAAACATTTCTACTAGACTACAAAATAGTGGCTTTGACGAAGAATATCAAGAACCTCCAAGACGAATCAATTATAACTATCATCCGATCTTAGATTTCTTTAAACCGGAAGCATCGATGTTGCAATCTTCGGAAATCAAATTCCCAATGCAATTGTCCGATGTTCCAAACGATTCGAATTCTTGGAAACCAATGTTAACATCTTAGAATATCTCGTTATCTTTTATCAGTACCTGACGCATCGTTCTTTCGTAAAGAATTGTAATTATCTTCTTCTGTATTTGTTATTTATCGAAATTCATGATCGATCCAAACGATCGTGTATTATATAAAGGATAGATGTATTAATTTTGTTAAAAACGAAAAATTTTTAAATATATGTACATATGTATGTAAGTCCAATATATATATATATATATATATATATATATATATATATATATAATATATATATATATAAATATATATATATATATATATATTTATGCGATAACGAATATGAATCTCAATGACGAATTCGTGCTTAAATATCGGAATACAGTATTATATTCGTTCGCATTAATGTATCTTTTATTAAAGATGACTTTTATAATAGTATCATAAGTCATCCTAGATAAATGATCGATTGTTTGTGACCGTTTTTTATATTTATTATTATATATTGCTGTACTCTTTATTTATACGTTAAATTTAAGAAAATAAAATGAATTATCATATACCTATAATAATAATAATAATATATACATATTATATATATAAATATCTATTATATACACACACGCACACACATATACATATATATACATGCATATGTTTACATACATATTCATTACATTTGTATACATATATATACATGTATATGTTGGAAATGAAATTCTAGGTGATTATCCAAAACAAAAAAGAAAAGAGAAAGATGATTATTAAACTTGAATTTGAAGACGATAAATTCTTCGAAATCGTCGACGACTTCTACTCGTTAACGTTGAAAGAAGGTTACACTTATTTTTATTTCATTCGAATAAAAACAAGTAGCGATTCTCTTTCTGTGGAAAAAGGAGCAATCGAAATATTTGAAATATCGTGAGACCAAATAGACAGAATGCGAAGCGATTTACTTGACTCGGTCGTCCGTGAATCGTTTGTCTCGGCAAAAGCTATTATCTGACTCCTAACCGTGTCGATTCGCGAAGCGTGACGACTCCATGCAGCATGCGTTTCGACTTTCTTCCTTCGACCGAAACTTCTAAAGAACTATTATGGAATCTTCTCTGTGGAACGCTTCAGCTAAGAGTTCGTAGCACTTTGAATCATGTGGTATGAACTCATTAGCACGATGACTACCAACGTTTATATACAGGGTGTCTCGTTTATATCAAACAAAAATTGAAATATCTCGTAAGAGACTGAACCTATTAAAATAATCTTTTAACAGATTTGTTTGATATGAAGAGACATGTTATATAGGGCCAATATTTTTAGAGATCAAATGGTGGAAAAAATTTCGAAGTCAAATTTATTTTTTTTTTTTATATGAAAATATATTTTTTTCTTACAGTTGGATGGCTTTTGTTAAGACGAATTCATCAACTTACCATATAAGGTATTTTATTGTTGTAAAGTTTTATAAATTATATTATAAATTTGTGTGTTCCGAAGTGATATAATCACGTATCGTGGGTTGCCTGTTACTAGGCTACATGTTGCATACGAAGGCCGAACTTCTTACGAAATACATTTTGTTTAATTAGCTCTGTAATTTGAGAAGCATAATGGGAACATACTTTACTATGAGAACATACTTTATTACAATATTATATTGCGTTATATCGTATTATTTATAATACTATATTTATTATATTGTATTATAATGTTATATTATAGCCCTAGTTATATAATAAAATAAACTTTTGTACAATTAAGAAATACAATATATATACTATTACTAATAACAATGAAAATAAAAATGTTTAAGTGTTAAATGTTAAATGTTAAATGTTCAAGAAAAATTTTCAGTGTTCTTTACTAAATCCTCTACCATTACTCTTCTTATTTAAAAAATTGACTTTTTTAGAATTGACAAATTCTGGACAAAGTGAAAATTATTCCTGGAAAAGTGAAAATCGAGTTTTGTATCAGGATCACATGACTCACGAAGAGATGGCACATGAAATCATGTCACCTCCTGATAAGTTATATTCTTCTGTTTGAAAAGTTAAATTTTTGACAAAGCAGATATTTTTCCCACAAATCAAACTTTGCGGGATTTTTATCTTTATGAAATTGAGAAAACTTTTTTCTGTCATTTATTTTTGCATCATATGATTACTATACAAAAACGATTTGGGATATGAAGAATAATTGGTGTAATAATGGTTGGATTTAAGAAAAAACACATTGAATTTTTATTCAAAACAAATATTTATTTTCATTTTAATTATTTATATGTATAAAGTACATTATATTTACTAATTATATTGATATTTACTTATCCTTATAAATTGAGATATAATATAATACTGTATTATATTAATTTATAACGCAATATAATGTAATGTATAATACATATTAATAGATTAGTGAAGAAAGACTAATTTTATTATTTACCTTGTATAGTTTTCTTTATTTATGATTGATATCGATACATCATTGCGGATTTAACTTATAATAAGTCTCATAATTTCTCTATCGTTTACAATGCATATCCTTGCATTTATCTATAGCACATGTTAATTATGAAAGTTCTTGATCATCCTTCTCTATCTTTTATTCTTTTTGCGTATGTCTTCTTGTATATTTTCATTGTTATGACTAATCGCTAAATCTTGCAAAATAAAAATTGACACTCATGTGATATGTCTCTTCATGTCAAACAAATCTGCAAAAACATTTCTATAAAAAAATTTTCGTAAATTCGATCTCTTACGGGATAGTCAAATTTTTTTTATATAAATGGTATACCCTAAATGGTATATCCATTCACACACACACACACACACACAAAAGCTAATATCTAATATATATATATATATATATATATATATAATATTTGTCAAATTAATATACATTAATATCTTCCTTATAATATATAATATATATAATATATATTATCTGTAATATATAATATATATATATATATATATACATTATATATATAGATATTATATATATAAATATTATATATATATATATCTTCTATAAATTTTTTCTAGACGAAACATACAAGATAGTAATAACGTCTAGATTAGATTTTACTGTTGTTATTAAAAAACTTTAATCTCCTAAAATGTTATAAAAGAAATCTTAGAAATGTACGTAAGTTGGAATATTAAAAAAGTTAATTTGCCAGTCACCAGTGATCAGTATATTCAACGTGTTAATGTATAACTATATATATAATCTATTAGTGTTACGTTACGTTCTATAGCAATTGAACAAAACATAATCGAGAAATCTCATTACGATACCTTCGATCGAGATTTATCGGAGAAAATAAAAATATGCGAAACGAAAGTGTCCGTAAGTGGTACCGATACTATTATATTCCGATTTTATTCCCTTTCTAGTAATAAACTCTGAGAAGGTACTATCAAGAGATCGCAAAATCGTCGAACGTCGACGAACTGCACGCTCCGTGAATAAAGTCTCTAAAGCTAACTCTATCATTTCTCACCCTACCCCACTACTTTTTACACGACCAGAAAATATAAATCGGCTCGACACGATTGTAATGTTCAACAGTACAAGCGAAGATTTCGTAGAACGTAAAGTGAATATATAGAAACAAATATCAACTTTGTGATGTATTTTATTCAATCGAAATTCAAAGTGCAGTGAAATAATCGTGCCAGACGTGATAAAGTCTAAGTTAAAAAAAAAAAGTATCATCAATATTATAATGACTTATCGTGATTAATATTGAGGAATGGATGTAAAATCGATCATTTTCTTTCTATTATTAATCCATACAATTTGTAATAGATCATTAGCTATCGAAATTTTTTCTGACGACGAAAAATTTATTCGATCGAAAGAACTTGTTAAAAATGATCCGAACGAAATATCGACGTCCGAAGATATCTCTTCGATATCATCAGAAGATATCGAGGAACCACCGGATCATAAAATACCTTATTCCGAACATGAAAATTCTGAAAAGGATGTTGCAACGAAACCAAAATATTTTGCACCAGGTGATTGGGCCAAACCATCAAAAGAGAAAAATATTTCTATAGATTTTGTACCTACAAAAATATATGCACAGGTTAGAGGAACTCATACGGTTAAACGTGCGCCACGAGAGGAAGCCATCGAGGAAGCTAATACTGACGAAGAAAAACTAAACGCATTAAGATTACGTGAAGTTGTGAAGAATTCTAAGGTAAACACGGTTTACACAGAAGAAGGCTATGAGGATTCGGCTTACGATCATGCTGGACACACCAGGGACGCTGATTTTCATGAGGATTTTAATAGAAATCTTCGTAATCAATTGAAAGAAAAACATGGTGAGGAAAGGACAGTTCCGGATAAACTAATAAAACGCAAGGGTGATCATAATGAACACGATGAAAACAACGAAGAAAATTCACGTGAAAATTATTTGGAATCTAACCTGAATCCTAAATTGATAGTTCGAAATGAAATTGAAATATTAGAAAAAGATCTCGAGCGAGAAGCTGAGGAAGTCGAAGGTGATTCGGACATACAGCTGTTCGATTCGAAGAAATTAAAACAATCCACGAATTCCGAAAGAAAATTAACTGCTAATGATAAAATATCTAGCAATGAAAATAATAATCACGATCGTCAAGAAGATGAGACAGAAAACGAAAATATTTATAACAAAAATCCAACCGATCGAATAACGGACGTAACGACTGTTTATAATAATCCCGAACGACCGATCGTTGATCAATCGACAAGTGATTACGGTAAAATCGTATGGGACTTTTTGAAAACGACGACAAATAATCCATTGAACGAACAAGAAATTACATTGACTCGTAAAGATGCGACTACGTTGTCTCCTAATTTACAATCACCAATGTTGATTACTACGATACCGTTGAATCTACCTGCATCATATTTCTTGCCAACTATTAAAGAAATAGTGACTCTACCTACCGTTTACCAAGCTTCTCAGAATTATTTTCCTCACGGTCCGAATTCTGAAACAGTTAATGCCGGACTGATCACGTCGATTGTTCAAAATAACGATCAAATTTGGCCAAGAAATACCAACGTTGATAATTACGTTGAATTCACAGATGATCCAATGATTCGTTCAATTATCTCGGATACTTCGAACTCGTGGAAACCTTCGACGCATAGCACAATTGATCAATCTTCTTTAAAACATTTTGATGGTCTCGTTT